TAACTTTGTGTTTATAAGCAATAAATAAGAAAGTAAACCACGCTTACCACGTAGTTGAAATAATTATGCATTTTCTCGAGGCCTGTATTCGAGCCAAGATTTCAAATGGTTATTCATTTGGAAGGTTTGCGTAACGCATTTTTTTTACTTTCTTACATCCATATACTACACAAAGAAATTAGAAACAAATGCAAAGAAATAAAAAACAAATACAGGCAAGCTAAAGAGGCATAACTCAACGAAAAAATGTGCAGAAATACAAAGAATGAGTATCACAAATGTTGTGGTGTCCTCCTTCTAAAGAGTCTATGTTGGACTCTTCCGCCTACTATAAGATTAGTAGGAGAGAAGGCCTTGGGGGAATAGTCGAATACATTGAACAGTGGGTCAACCGACACACACTCACTAGTCGTGTAATACTTTTCTGTTGTGCTTACTGTTTAATATATGATATTTCTGTAACACTTGTTTTGTTATTTCTTTAAACATTTACTTGGTCACAACAACAAATAAAACAGATATACACAAAAAAATAAGAAAGCAAGAAAAAAAAGATGCTCGTCAACAGGCTGCATAAAATCCAAGGACCTAACGCTGATAGTAGGGAAAGAAAAATACTTCAGAGATGGAACGAATATAACGGAGGACTCTTTCAAAACGAAAGAGGAGAACCGGCAATGCACAGAAACATCGACGGACCGGAAATATTGGCATCTAAAGTGGAATCGACACTAGCTAATTTGAACAGAAACAAAGCGGTAACGCCAGACAGAATTGTAATAGAGATGCCGACAGCCTTAGATGATTTAGGCATGGACAAGATTACAGAAATAATAAACGAAATCTACGACAATGGTGATATACCAGAAGACTTAAGTAGTTCCCTTCTCATAGCACTGCCTAAGACACCAGGTGCAAACGAATGTGAACTCCATCAGACAATCAACCTATTTAGCCATATAACGAAACTGATCATCCGAATTCTGATGAATAGAACACACAGCAGAATCAGACCGGAAATAGGACAAGAACAGTGCGGGTTCGTCAAAGACACTGGAACAAGGAATGCAATATTTATAAATGTTATCAGAAAGAGCAATAGAAATGCAGAAGGACGTATACCCGTTTTATGGATTATGTAAAGGCATTCGTTAAAGTGCTCCACAAAAATCTATTAGAACTGCTCAGCAACCCTGATATATTTGAGAAGGCTATTAGAATAATCAAGAACCCATACTAGCAGTAAAGCCCCTACATATAGAAATGTGAATTCAGCAGATATACAAAAATAGAGAGGGGTATAAGACTAGGATGTGTCTTCACACCGGATTTATTCAACCTATACAGCGATATATCTGTAAGTTCTATGCTTACAGATTCTTTTCTTGCACTTTTCGCTTGTGGCTCTTGTGGCTTTTCGGCTCATGCTTTCCGGCCAACTTTAATCTTCAAAAGTTTAAATGCAATGTCAATCGTTATCTACTGTTTTCTTGATTTCTCTTCTTCTATTGTTTTCAGTCTTTAATAATGCTTTTCTTTTTTCTTATACTTTCACACTCAGTAACACTTTGTGTCTCAGTGGCTTTACTGCCTTGTTTGGCGTGAAATAATTAAAAAAAATATTGGAATTTAATTTGAGAACCACGAATACAATATTTTACAAGTTCATATTCTAGCCTATTTTCCAATCCTCGCCCCAACCTTTTTCGTTACTTTCAAAACCGGCTCCCAAAGCCTTGATTCTTACCAGAGATAAGAATATATTTTCTCACTAACGAGAGAGATGAAAAATATAAAAAGGAATTCCACTTCCATTAACCTGTCCATGATGCCATAAAATCTGGGGAAAATGCTCATAGTTTGTTGCAGCTCTCAAAACCTTGGTTCTTATCAGAGATAAGAATATATTTCCTAATCAATGAAGGGGCTAGGAAATTTGTATAACAATTTTGGAGAAGAATGTCTCCCTTTTTTCTGAGCCTCCCAAATCTATAAATACGGAAAATCTTCGCGTATTTGGCAGTGAGTAACTTCGACAACCGTCTGAGATAACAACGGGTCGGCAACTGAAAGGCAGTCACCTTCAAGAAAGATCAACCTGTTGGACTGAAAAGACAGAACATCAACCCATTACTAAAAACTAATTCAGAACTGAGTCCTTGCACTTTATTTACATTATTCGGTCTATTCTCCTCATCTTTGTCGCCATATTTATTACAACGATTCAGCCGTTGTACGCCCCGGCCTTCTTCAGGTGGTTGGAATGTCGAACTGAACCCTTTATTTCGCTCATTAGGAGTAGACTGTTCTAGTTTCACTGTGTCCTTGAGGACAGATGGCACAGTGGATAAAGGCGTTGGTTAGATCCAGTGACAGGACCTAAAGAGTGTGAGTTCAATACCTGGTTAAGGCGATGGAGAACTTGGAGAGGGGAATTAACAGGAGATGACTGATAACTGACATCCATTAGACATGGCACATGGAACTAGAACAGTCTACCCCAGTGAGCGAAATAAAGGGCTTGACATTCCAACCACCTGAAGAAGGCCGGAGCATAAAACGGCCGAAACGTTGTAATAAATAATTGCGACAAAGATGAGGACAATAGTCCGAATAATGTAAATAGTGTACATAATACCTCATATCAGAAATATAGACAGATACTGAAGAAGGCCGAAGAGTACAACGGTCGAAACGTTGTAATAAATGTGGCGACAAAGATGAGGTCAATGGTCCAAATAATGTAAAGAGTGTACATAATACCTCATCTCAGAAATATAGACAAATGCCTCCTTACAACTGAAGATTTCTGTCGTCGACCTACGAACTCACTCAACTACGGAATTTCGTACCTTCTGACATTTTCCTGCTCTGCAAGAACTCTGACGAAAACTGTGAGTGTTTTAACCCTTAACAACAATCTACTCGCTTAAAGAACTTTTCGGCGCTCAGAGAAATATTTTGAGCAAGCTTTTCTTCTTTTATGAACATTTTCTCTTCCTTTAAAGGGCTTTTTCTTCTCCCTTTCTTTCTCTCGTAGTTGTGTTTATCCCTTTACCCTTTTTTTTGTACATATAAACAAACACATTCTTCTTTTATTGTTACACATCTTGCAGGAATTTTGAGTCTTTCTTTATTCGTCCGCCTAAAAGAGAGAGAGTTTGTCCGCTCTAATCTTTCAATCCGTAGTTGCTTGCTGTTTTTATTCAATTTTTATCGCAATTTCTAAACTCAGCGATTTCATGTGGGAAATTTCCCATAAACATGCTACTTTTTGACTGATATTCAAACTCACTTGAAGAAAACAAAACCTGTTTGCTACCCGCGACAGTAGAGCTAAAATGGAGTTAAAGAGGACAAAGAATAATGCATGGTTAAGTGAAATATATATTAATAAGGACAGATTGTTCAATACTGCACTGATAAACATCAGCGAGGTCAATCAGGTTATCAAATTACTGACTCAATGTACCATTGGGGTGTTTTCCAGTATCGGCTAAATATCACTGGGGATTGATTGGAGGAAGGTATATTATAAATGAATAAGAAAATTTACATGATGACACATAGACAAAATCTCTATATTTGCGTTGACTCTTCCGAGGCAGTTTAATCTTGTCTTTCATTTTCTTTTGCTGTCTTTTAAAGATAACAAAGATATAGAAACTGGCCCTTCAGAATCATTGTATAATATAAAAAAACAAAAAAAAACAAAAAAAAAAAAACAACGTATAAAAAATAGAAACAAATCTCACTAGGGTAAGTCAATAAGTTCATAAACAAAAAAGTAATTATCAATTCAATTTTGATCTTAAAATTAATATGTTCGATCAGTGTGATTGATATTAAAAGGGGTTTTTTTTTGGTGGGGAGGACCAAAAGAAGGAACATGAAAACTCTTATCCGGGTATTATGAAATGACGCCAACGTAATAACACAAGGCTCTTACTCTGGTCTGAAATTTGAAAAAAAATGTGAATTTATTAAATGACACGAATAATAATAATAATAAACAGAATAAAAATAATTACAAACAAGCTTTCATAAAATTTTTCATTGAGCGCCTAATGCTGAAGCAAGATAACAAATTCTAATTACAATTCTGTTGGGTTCATAAAACCAATTATAATTATTATCAGAAAAATGTTCACTTACTTCGATTTATTCAATCATCAAAAGGAGTTAAGATGGTTGACGTTCACAGGCTTCAGGTTTGTTTAGATAATAATTCAGTTTTGCAAACTGAGATGAGATAAATCTTGTATTTTCATTTAAAAAGTTCAAAATCAGGGTAAGTACCTCTATTTTTTTTACAAACTTTCAAAAATAACTATAAAAAGATAATCATATATGTCACCAAAACTGTAGAATCTCGCCTTTCTGCTTTTATTTCTTTTTCTTCTTTTTCCTTTTCTTTCAGTTACGCCCTTTTCTTTTTCTTTCAGCATTTTTTCTTGTCGTTGTCGTCGTCGTTGTCTTTTTTAATTTTTTTTTTTTTTGTTATATAAAGCGTTTGATAGCGAGAGAAAGGAATAATGAGGATGAGATTGAAACAACGATTCGTGATTTGATTTAGTGTAGGGAGTTGACCCATTTCTTGTGCCAGCATGGACGAGGTCACAGGATACGGTCTGTACACGTTTTGTTGATCAAGATTACGGTGGTAGGTCGTTTTGTCGGTTGGTACATCTGTTGTGTTGAACCGGGTCACAGTAGATTGGCATGGTTTTGGCAGGGTTGTTCTGTGGAATGACGATCGCTGTGTTGACTGCGAAGAGAATGCCTTGTAAGCGAGTCGAGGTTTGGCCGAGGTGAAAGCTTGTAGCTTGGAGGAATCTTGGCTTATACAGAAACACTTTTTCGTATAAGACACAACAAGCATGCAGGCTAACGATCATTCCATCGTAGTTTAATTTCGTGACACTTTGTTCTTAGTTTCCAAGTTAGAGTCGAGGTTTCAAACTTTAAGTCAGAGACTTCTTCAGACAGCAAATTGCGGGATGCTGACGAAGCACTCTTTTCCCATTTCTCTCTCTCTCTCTCTCTGTCGTTATATAGAGATTTTCCATTCTTCCACTTTGCAATTTCATCAGAGCACTATGCTCAATTTATCTAATAGTCTGGAACAAGACTTGAGTCAGGAGTTCTTCGTGACAGCAAATCACACTCCTATTGACGTTATGGAAGCGCGTCTTTGCCTCAACTGCTACTCTCTGTAATTCTTCTCTGATATAACGCTTTTATGGACCCTCGCCCAACATCGGTGTGGTCTCCGACGCGATCTGGTGTTCCAGGATTTTCCAAATATCCAATCAGAACTCTCTGCTGACTGTCCTAGGGAGCTCGCTCTGCGGGAGTGGTGTTAGCAACACGTCTTGTTCTCCTCTTTCTCTTGCTCGCACCTCACACCAGTACCTTTCAGTGGGCGTATTCATTTTCGTTCCACTTCCTCATATCAGCTCCTCATGCTGCCACCACCCAGGGAATAGTTGTTCCACCCGACCCATGGATGCCTGACACAAAACAGGTATTACTTTTAATATGATCCTAAAATTTTTATCTGATATTTTTTTTATTGCTAATTATCACGTTTGTTCCGTAATTCTTTCTCTTTTACACACTTGACCGAAAGTTTCTGGTCTAAGAAAATCTTGTTCCTTTAGCGCATCTTCGACTCCTATCAACAAGTGACATAGAATCATTTCTTTACCCTCTTCTTCGCCTACTAGTAGCCAAAAAATTATTATCTGTGACTAACTTGTTGGTCTCTGTCCAAAATAATGCCAGCCCCGGCCGACTCGCGGATGTCATCGCACTTCCCTCAAACTGTCCTTTGAGCTTCACGTTAACCAGATGTCTAAGTGGATTTCAGCGCTATCTTCCACTGAGGAGCTTTACTCACGAAATGAGAAAACAAGATAAAAGTATATTTTCTTTTGTTTTCGGTATATCCTTTAATCTATCTACTACCTTTTTCGGCTTTGTGTTCACTTTCGATTTAATTTAAGACATTTTTTCTTCAAATTATTCTTACAGTATCACATCTGTCCCTTACCCTTCCTGTCACTTACTTGTAAATAACATTCTTTTTTTTTCTTTTTATGTGCCATGTCCTTTCAGGACGTAGGCGATCATGACTCTCCCCTTCCTTCTATCCCTTGCAGCTCTCAACAAGTTCCTTCCCTCTGCTTCGTCCTCCAGACTACGTTCTGTCATCCACCTGCTCAAGCTCGTCAGGTATGTCATGCGCTGCTTTCTCTTGTCTCTCTTTCCCTCTATTCGACCTGTGAGTATCACATTGTCCAGGTTCTCCTCCTGATTTCAGCTGCCTCTTTCTGATGTTAAGTATAATAAACGTAAATGGCATACAATTCCCAATAATTCTGTCAAGCTACTTCGCATTCACCACCTACCCTTCTACTATCTCGTGCACAAATTCCTTCTTTTTTTATGCAGCATTTTTTTTCAGGGTCTGTTTTTTCTTCTGGCATCATGCAACGGTTTCATATTCCTTCTCCTTCTGTTATCGTATGCAATGAGTTCAATACATAGGTAGTTCTACTAAGGCATGCAGTAGAATTTAAAAGAGTTTTTTTATAGAAAAAATGTTGAGCATGCATATTTTAGTCATGAGGTTCGCAGCACCTCCTTCTCCTTCCTGACAAGATCTGGTTGGGCAAAGAACATTATCTGGCATCCCTTTCTCAAGCCGTCTCACACTCGCCAAAACCCTGTTAACCGAGTTCTTCCTATGCCTTTTTAGTTTCCATATGGCAGTCACTATAGCCATAATAATTATCAGGGTACACACTACTGCTGACCAACTTACTATAGCTCCCTTATTTTCTTTCCAGACTGTACTCTTTTCTCCCTCGTTACTTAAACAGTTTTTAATTGCTTTAAGCTAATTTTCTCTACATATGTCAAAAGGGCAACTTCAAGGAATCCCCCTAGCACTGGTTCCCATAATTCGGTTCATTTACTTAAACTCTTTTTCACTATCTCTACGATCGAATCCCTTTCTTCGTACTTCTCCTCAGCCTGATAATATGATGGGAGGGAGATCGATGTTCCAAACGCTGAACATCCCAGGGGTAGTTCTATTAGGGATAACGGGGGTTCTACCCTCAATGTTCTAGTCGATTCTCCCCTACATACCTTGGACAGATCAGTTTGCTTTTGGGTAGCAACGGCTCAGATTCCATCAGATATACTAATAGCCTGTGGCAACACTGTATTTGTTGATACCTCTACTTGACAGCTTTCTTTAACTCTCTCCTTATCTCCCTTAAACAACTCCAGCGCACACAATCTATGACAACCCGTCACATAATTGGGACTTAATGAGGTACACGTTCCTAAAGCATCATTCTGATACTTCCCTGCTTCTGCTGTCAGCATCATAAATTTCGTTCTAGCTGAATGTTACGCTATATACTCTGTTTTAACTATTCTGTAGCATTCTCACTGTTCCTTTTTCATTGTTCTCTAACTGTGACCTCTCCCAGTTTCTTTCTTATAGACCCAATATCTTCGTTTGTTACCGTTCCAAACAAGACGCTCAGAGCTTTTGCTACAATAGAGAGTACCGCCCTCTTTTTCCCCTTTAGGTAATTCTTCATATCCCTCCAATACTGCTGTCTCCAGCTCTATGGGGTCCAACTATGAGTTTCTTGTCTCTGATATATTTCTGTGTTACCGTGTTCCTTGCCACGCCCAGCAAAGCTAATTCATTTTCTATTTTGTTCAATAGCAACTCGTAGGGATTATCTATTACGAAAGAGACTATCCATGTCGATCTGGTTATTTATCACTTCACTAGATTTATTGAAAATCGTATTTTGGCTGTGTCCCCAGGCGTCTATCGTCACCTTCATTGTCAGTAGCAGTACCGGTCTTCTCACACCAGCCATCCCTGCAAGGATAACAAGTTTTCCTTGTCTTATTATTTCTGTCCACCCATTGTCTACCTGTTTATTTTTTCAGCTTAAGTCCTTTAACCATCCTTCAGCGAACCGACCGTATTTAGACAGATGCGCGGCTCTCTTGTCCCAGAGGTCGGGCCTCATCGTTACTACCGCCGGACATACACGGGGCCCTCATGCCGACCGACGACAGCACCAACAAATAGCTCCGCTTCTCGTGACGCGCTATCCGCACCTCAGTCTTCTCTCAATCAATCCCCTCTGTTCATTCCCGGATGGACTCCTAAAAAAGCCTTCGCCTTTGCGCGCCCCATCATCCTCAACCACACTCTTCTATCGCGCTTCAGGGTCCCTTGCACCTCCCAGTCTCTGCTTAAGGTGTAACTCTGACAACTACCGGTCCTATTTCTTCCCTTAACTGTTTTTGAAGCTGGGAGAGAAGTATCTCATACTTTTCTTCCTACTCACTCCCTTCTTTTTCTTCTCAGGAGGATTTGTGTCAGAACACGGAATTCCTCACTCACGTTCTTCGCCTTTTTCGCAGTTCCGCGACGTCTATGGGTCGGAGTCAAGACGTTTTGAAGAACCACCCACCCACTTCCAGCGACAGCGGTGTGCAGGCTAAACTGTCCGACACATCGTCGAGGATTTCTATGTGCAGATGACTTCCTTCTCTTTCATCCTCCTCAGATTCCTCGTCCGTCTCCATTTCTGATTCCACAAGGGTTACCTTCCTCCGCCGTTTTTCTTAACGTTGGGGCTCGGTCACTCCCCAATCGCTTTTTTCGGCCAATTTCAGATCATTAGCATGTGCTCTTTTAATTTTTCCTGCCATTTGGTCCCAGATTACAAACGACGCTGGACCCGTTAGCTCCATTATCCTACAGTAGGGTTTCCATCTTTGGTACAGTTTCCCCTCTCTCAGGTGAATCTTATAGTACACGGGGACTCCAACCTCTAGCTCTACCTCTTTTCTCCTTTGTTCATTCTTTCATTTTTTTTCTGGGCTCTCTGTATTCTCCTCCTCACTTGGGTAAACTGTTTATGTTGTTGCTCGATAATTAGTTGATAGTGGTCCTCCTCTATATACTTCTTGCGAAGTTTTAACAAATTGTCCACCTGCAGGAACACATCTCGTCCAAAAAGCATATAGTATGGCGAGAATTTAAAGATTTCGTTTATTATTTATTAAAGACAATTTTATGTTTAACATTCTTTTTATAGATACAAGTATTTAAGTAAATGCTCCGTTTATAATAAACAGTATTAAATAACATTTACCGGCCTGAATGTCCGAGAAATTTTCATAGAAAATAATCGTCCTTTGACAGGATTTGAACCTGCGTCCTATACGGAACCGTCATTTACGCTGACGTACCTTGACCGCTCGGCCACAAAGGATCGTTCGGTTGGCAAGGTTGAATTTACTGCTTATAAACTTCAATCTTCCATGAATCTCGTACATTCATAACTGCTCATGGCGTATCAAATGTAAACAAATGACGTCATATATTAAGAAATGGACAAAGTCCAACAATTTATTTATTAAAGACATTTTTATGTTTAACGTTCTTTTTATAGATACAAGTATTTAAGTAAATGCTCTGTTTATAATAAACAGTATTAAATAACATTAAAATGTCTTTAATAAATAAATTGTCGGACTTTGTCCATTTCTTAATATATTTCGTTTATTGTAAACTTCACCGCTGCCAAGGCCTGTGTCAGGTATGGATCCCAATTCTCCGTATTCTCCCTCGACAATTTAGCCAGTACTTCTCCCAAGGTCCTATGGAACATTTCCACTTTTACGTTACCTTGGGGACGATAAAAGCATGTGGCTATTTGAACTGTATTCAGGTTTGACAGAACCTCTACTATTATTCTCTTTACATTTTCTTGTCCATTGACCAGCTTCACAGGGGCCCCATATCTAGAGAACAGCTCACTCATCACCAAATTCGCCACTATTTGAACTTTCTTATCCGGTACGGGATATACCTCAGGCCAATTCGTCAACCAATCCAGAAAGCTCACTATATACGTTTCCCAGAGGTGGGGGGGGTCTCCGTAGGGCCCCGATACATCCATGATGACTTTTTCAAAGGGAAAGTTCTGGGTATCTGTCCCCTCCAGTGGGCCATCTCCTGTTTTTTACTCTGGGTCTGGCATATCCCATCCCCAAATATAGATGGTAACTTCCCCGTATAGTTCTGGCCAGTATGTTCTTCCCACTAGGTCACATGTCTTAACGATCCCCATATGTCCCATTCTTTCGTGACATTGTTCCAATATTTCGGCACTCAGGCCCTTGGGTACGTAAAGTCTGAGTCTAATTTCTTCATCCTTCCCTGAGAGGTAATACAGCCTTTTCTCATGTATCACATAACGCATAAAGTATGTCGCCCCTGCCTCCACCTTGAAGGTGGTTACCTCACTATCCATCTGACCCTTCTTGATTTCTTCTACCCAGAGAGAATCAGTCCTTATTTGTGTGCTCGCCTCTTCCTCGGTCTCCGACGCAGGTCGGTTGTCTAGCCTATTCGAGTTAATCACTCTAACCTGATAGGCCCTATCATCTACCCCCAGTTCGACCTTCACTGATTCTACCTCTAGTTTCTTTGCTATCCTTGACAGTAGGTCTGCACAGGTGCTGTCTCTGCCGGCCAGATATTCTATTCTGCAGTTGTATCCGCTCAATTTGAACGCCCGCTGCCGGATCTTCTTATTTGCTCAGTCAGCTTCTAATAAATACTGGAGAGGCTTGTGGTCAGTTTTAATAGTAAATACTGCCCAACCCAAGTAATATTCCAGCTTCTGCAGTGTGTACATGATAGAGTATGCCTCCTTCTCTATCACTGGCCATCGCTGTTGTGTCTCCGAGAGTCTGTGCGACAGAAAGTATACTGGTACCTCCTCTAGTATACCGGGCACCGGACCGTCCTTGTTTGGGCATGGTTGGGTGAGGACTGCTCCTATGCACTATTCAGTAGGTTCAGTGTAAAGAATTATTGGTTTGCTGAGATCTGGATATGTCATCAAGGGAATAGCAGTCAACTGCTCCTTCAGGCAGTCAAATGCGGCTAAACATGAAGTTGGTCACTTCGACCAAGCCTCTTCCTGTCCCACGTTGTGATTGTTTTGATCATAAGGTAGGCAAGGATCGAATCGTCGCCAAATATCACTGGATTTGTGCCGTTCAAGCGGGACGATGTTATAAGACAAAAAATGAAAGAAAGTCGTGTAAATCAACAAGATTCATATAACTGAGGTTTATACAGAAACACTTTTTCGTATAAAAATCTACAAGGATGCAGGCTAACGACCATTGCCTCGTAGTCTAATTTTGTGACACTTTGTTCTTCGTTTCCAAGTCGAAGTTTCATGAGACTTCTTCAAGCAACAAATTACGGAATGCTGACGAAACACTCGTCTCACTCTTTCTCTTTCTCTCTCTCTCTCTCTCTCTGTCGTTAGATCGAGACTTTCAATTCTTCCACTTTGCAATTTTATCAAGCCACTCTGCTCAATTTATCCAATAGTCTGGAACAAAGCAATAGTCAGGAGTTCTTCATGGCAGCAAATCACATGGGGATCGGCGAAGCGATCGCCTCCTCTTGGCGTAAAAGAAGCACCTCAACTGCTATTCTTTCTGTCTGTAATTCCCCTCTGATCTAACGCTTTTATAGGCCCTCGTTTTCGGTATGTCCTTCAATCTATCTACTACCTTCTTCGTCTTTTTGTTCGCTTTCGATTTAATTTAAGTTTTTTTCTTCAAATTTTAAGCATTCTTACAGTATCACACACCGCCGGAGATCACTTCGTAGACAGGATGTGATGCGTGGAGCCTAATGCACAGAAAACGACTTTTGTTATTTCGTTTTCTACCTTCGTGGCCTTCACATCCGGCCAGCGTGCAGAATGAAACAGAATGAGATCTAATTGCGACGGAGTATAACATTTTGTTCAGCTCCCCAAACCAACAGAAATTTTCCTTTTGAATGCCAAAACACTCTATCGGTCAGACAAACCGGACTTCTTAAATACTCATAAATTGGTTCCGAATTGAAGAAATTTGCTACTACAGTGTTGTAACTTGCTTTCACTTTTGCTTAAAAAATCACAGTGTATCTCATTAAATCACGCCTGTTAGCAAACTTTATTTAGGCGGGTTTTCAGACTATCACATTTGAGGCTCTTTTTGTTGACAAGTTTTGAAAAACAAATTTTATACATGTATTTATCAAGCTTCACTGTGGCGGTATTTTTTACAAAATCAATTTGAGCCTCACATATATAAAATTTTACACATTAAATTTTATTCAAGCCATTTTACTGTCTTGGCTTCGTTATAGAATTTTTCATTTTGTTTAAAGAATACGTGTTTGTAATTTTCTTCTTTAATAAATATCTTTTAAATACTCTCATCGAAAGAAGGTGTAATAAATAAACCTAGTCTATTGTATTATTTGTGACACTATTTGGCTTGCTAAAAGGGAGAAAGGAGAAAAGAAAAAGGAGAGAAAAAAAGAAAGAAAGGCGAGAATTAAAATTAGGTGATAAGAAGCCATTACGAAAAGGACACTAATCGGTGTTATTTTTCTGGCGAGGAAAAGTGGTAAAATTTTTATTTCCCATTGTCGAGAAGGTAAAAAGGAAGATACTGGAATTAATCTGATTTAGGTTACGGGGCGGGTGGAAATTCCAGGTTGGCCAAATAACCTCAGAGACAGAATTCTAAATAGATAAACATTGACTGTGTCGCAAAATGTTCATTTGGACCACACAAAGTTACAAAAACAAAAGACCAAACCATAAGGTCGTTTGGAAAAGGCATCTGTTTTGTGCCGAAGCTGGCTGTGGTGGGGATTATTTTATCGGGAATAGATAACGCCAGAATGCGAAACGTCTAATTGACCACCCACTTGATAATTGGCGAAAATCTCGTTGACGACATCCATATGAAATTGGCTGTGTTGGCGAAATTGTTTTATCGGATCAGTGGTTGGCGCCAGGAGTGTAGGTACGTCTGGTTGACCACCCACTTATTAATTGGCGAAAATCTCATTGACGAATTCCAAGTAATTCGGTTAAAAGATAAAAAGTCTAGGGTGTGAGGTTTCCTCGAAGAGAAGAAAGAAAAGGAAAAATGAAAAAAAGAAAAAAAGATAATTTTTTTTTTCTTTGAGCAAGATTTTTTAAACCAAGGCTAGTTTGGCCACACCCACGACGCTGAGCGCCCATTGGCTGAATGATAGCAGGAGTATTGGGCGGAGGTAATTATGTGAAGCAGGAGGGGAGGCCTGCTGGCACCCATTGAGGGGATAGGTGTGAGATGCCACTGTGAGAGAGAGGGAGAACCGTTGACACCCTTTGAGGGTATGGTGAGATACCAATACGAGAACAGAAGAAGGTGGGAGGACGAGAAGACTTCCAAAAATGGAAAATAATAAAATTTTCCTGACCGAAAACAAAAAAGTGGATGGTGGGTTTGGAATTATCAAGGAACCTCAAACCCCGACAAGCCCACCCCGGTTTTGGTCGGCGTCCATATAAGCAAAGTCGCAGCGAGCGAAAATCAGTTGCAATGCGAATTAAGTTCGAGTTCGAGATCCAGTCAGTTGAGTTAAGTTCGAAGTTCGCAGTTGAAGTTGGTCCCGCCTCG